AAAGCGAAAATTGTTGATGTTTTATTAACTAAGCACTTTCACAGTTTATTGTGATTTAAATAGCAGTTTTTGCAGTTATCAGATAAATATTTTGCTTGCAGAAGTGTGTACATAGCGTGAAAAAATAAAATGGAAAAATATATTTTTCACGAAGTAATTTTATGCTTTAAAATATTTGCTTTCGTGTGTCGAGATATATAGAATTATAATTAGTAAATTAGAATTATAACGTAATTATGTAGTGAGTTACAGGAATAGGGCTAGCGTCTACTAGAAACCTTCCATACAAGGCTTATAATTAAGACCTCTAGTTTATAAATTATTTATAATTATTTAAACTAACTTCCTGGGGCTCAAAGCTGAATGGCACTTACTTGGCCAGTTAGGTAAACTTATGTATAACACAAATTCATTAACTAATGTGTACGTACACACTGCAATATAACCTTTATTAAGTCAAAAGCAAAAATATCTATTCCATTTCCTATGGCACGGAGAAGATAAAACCATTACATTTTTCCTCCTTTACAGATATTAATAATTCTATCAATCCGGAGACTGCTAACATTGTAAGTATAATAAAATAAAATAAAATTATTTATTTTATTGTAAACGAAGATATAAGCAACTATTTCAAGAATATGCATGTGGAGATCGATAGAACAACTAAGTTAATTTACTGTGTATGTTTTTTTACTGTACACTATGCAGTATGTTTTGTGCGTGCATGGGACCGTCAGCTCAAAATTGTACAAACAACACTATATTTCCAGTTAATTTATTGCAGAGGGAAAATACATTTTATATTTAAAAATTCCTTAAAAAAATAAAATTACAATATGACAATTGTAAATAATTTGTTAAATGCTGGGTGGCGTAAAGGAAGTGCTTTTCGAGATGAATAGATATTGAATTCTAGTTGCGTGCTTGATAAGATATTGTTTTCAATAGGCCATTTCATTTAGGCAGCTCATTCCTAAACTTTTCAAACAAGCATATTCAAACTGAAATATTCTCGGTTAATACAGCACAAAATACTCATGGTATAATTAATCACGGAATTATATGCTATACTTTGTATTACTGCAGTTGTGTGTATCTTGGTACGTTCATCAGTCTGCTTTGTGAGAAAGGGAATTTTTTTACGGAAAGCAATAACCTTTGTTTCCTTTGCAATACTCACGTATTCACCAATTAATATAGGTAGAAAAATGAACGTTTAAAGCAACTATATTGAATATGCAACCTTACTCAAACGTTAGTGTTAATAGGATTTCATGACTAGTAAATTATGTCAATGTTTGAACTTAAACAAAAAAAATGTGTACGGTAAGCAAGGTTATGGTTGCGAATTTTCGAACTATTAGTTTATGGAGATGTATGTATGCTTACAATCGTGAAATTCAGGAAAACAAAAAAATATCTTCAGTCCACACTTTTGTACTATCTCAAGAGTAGAAAACCTTGTAAGCCAATAGCAGCTATACCGTAACTTTGTTATTTCACATTAGGGATAAGAGACCGATAAATACAAAGCATTACTATCTTTCTAATAATGAGATGGCTGATATCTACGACGGCAGGTTATGGAAGGATTTTATGACCATTAACGGCAAGGACTTTCTCAAAGCTCCACGAAACTACGGCTTACAGCTTAATTTCGACTTCTTCCAGCCAATGAAGCGAAGAAAAGATTATTCGGTTGGGGTTTTCTATTTGGTTGTACTCAATTTACCACAGGCAGAAAGATATAAGTGGAAGAATGTAATTGTAATTGGCATTGTACCATCATTTGATAAGGAACCAAAAAATTTAAATCCTTTCCTTGAACCTGCAGTTAAAGAATTACAATGTTTGTGGAAGGGGATGAAGTTAAAGTCGTCAAAATGCAGGTTTCCAATCACTTTCAGAGCAGCAATTATGTCTGTTTCAGCAGACATACCTGCAATGCGAAAGCTTGGAGGATTTAAAAGCCACGCGGCTCTTCATGGATGTTCCCGTTGTTTAAAATCGTTTCCAAGATCTTTCGGAACTAAACCAGATTATTCTGGTTTCTGCAGAACGCAATGGACACCAAGAACAAATGCACAACACAGACGCAAAGCTCAATGTTTGGAAAACATTCGCCCTTCCACAAAAAAGGATGAATTCGGAAAAAAACATGGAATTACACATTACAGTGTCCTACTTGATCTTGAGTACATTGATGCGATTCGGTTTTTTACCATTGACCCAATGCATAATCTTTTTCTTGGAACGGCCAAGAAAATGTTTAGCTTGTGGATAGAAACACATTTATTATCCATCAAGAATCTTGAAGAGCTGGAGAAAAAGATTCAAGCCATGGACATTCCAAATTCAGTCGGAGGATTACCTGCTAAAATATCTTCCAACTACGGAAGTTACACAGCTGAACAGTGGAAAAATTGGACGCTGATATACTCTCTCGTATGCCTAAAAAACATTCTTCCGGAAGCCCATTTATCATGTTGGCAAACGTTTGTACTAGCTTGTACATACATATGCAAACCAGTGATTTCTGTTGCTGAATTAGAAGTGTTTGACAGGTTATTTGTGAAATTTTGCAAGGAAGTTGAAGCATTATATGGCAAAGAAGTAATTACACCAAATATGCATCTTCATTGTCATTTAAGAGATGTACTTTTAGACCATGGCCCCTCCGCTAGCTTTTGGTGCTTCAGCTTTGAGCGATACAATGGAATACTAGGCAGTACACCGACAAACAAACGATCAGTAGAGTTGCAACTAATGAGAAGGTTTCAGCTTTCACACTTTCTGGAAGCTAGAGATTACCCTAACATGTTTCAACAGGATTTACTACCACTGTGCTCACAAACTGAGAAAGATAAGAGCGTAGGTTGGATAGAGACCACTGACTGGCAAACTCGTATGCAAGTTGACAAACTAGCTTTTTCGAGACCACTGCCACAGGGCAAGTTGTGGGGCAACCTATCAGGTATATTCACTCAGGAAAACTACAAACTGAGTTCATTAGACTGTGATGATGCAGCATTGCTAGTTGAAGTCTACAAGGTTTTGTACCCAGACCTGAGCATTAATGCAAACCACATAGGCTTGTTAATCAAGAAGTTTGGCTCAGTTGTTATTGGTTCAACAAAGTTTGGTTCTAAGCTTGAGCCAAGAAGCATACGCTCAGCAAGAATTTTGGCATCTTGGACAAAAAGTGACGGAAGTATTAACAAGGAAACATTTTGCCTTTCACCAGGCACTGTGAGTTATTACTTCAAACACACACTTGACATCGAAAGCGAGAAAGTCACGCATGTGTTTGCCAGTGTAAAGTGGCACAAGGAAGTCCCTAACAGAGACAAAATCGGTAACCCAGTACAAGTGTGGTCACCAAAGTACCAAGAACCCGGCTGTTCTGTTTTTATGCCTGTACAAAGAACATACTCGCATTTTGCTACCTCAAAGTATGGCAACAGCAGCATTGCAGTATGTGCACTTTTGAGAAAATCCTTTTTGTGAGTAGCAGTGACAAAATTCGGTACAGTGACACATGCAATATATGGAGAACATTATTACAGTTCTAAAGTTTGTTAGTTCACTGCCACCGGGTATATTATCACACATATTATCGCTACTCCGGGTTTTAAAAAAACAAATGAATGCAACTAAATAAAAGTAACAATTCACGATACCTTCACTCTTATTTAGTTGCACTCATTTGTTGAAAAAAAAACGGGAGTAGCGATAATATGTGTGATTACTGTATTACAGTTGATTCTCCATAATACTCTTCCGACGTACAGTACAGTAGGTTCCGGAATTTGCTTCCGATACAGTATACGTTCCCAAACGGAACCATCAAATACCAAGCTGGGTATTTGATCTGGATAATCTATTTTCTTTCATGACAAAAAAAACAACCATCATTTGTGCAATACACCGGATATATTATGAACTAACTGTAAATATTTGAATTTCAAGGACGAAATGTTTTCAAACTCGTCAAGCACCCTACTGTAAATAAACTGATATATCAATGTATACCATTTCACAACAAATGAAACAATGTGTAATAATTACCTTACTTATTATTATTAGCATGACAAAATTACTGGATGCTGATTGGTTGAGACTTGAGAGGAATACAATTATTTCATTAATTGTACTGCAGTACAATTAATGTTTTCCCAAAACAAACAAAATGGCGGAAATGCATTTTAAACACAAGCGTGAAATGAAATTGCCGTGGAGGAACTAGATGAAAATACGAACAAAAGCACCAAATTTTGCTTGAACAAAAGAACTAAATGAAAATACAAACAAAAGCACCAAATTTTGGTTGAAAGTCTGGCAGGACTGGGCTTTGGCGAGAGAATATGATGTTGACATTGAGAAGTACGTATCCAATTTTGTCATGCTAATAATAAACAAGTAATCATGCGATGTTGCTCGTACAATTAGGGATTAATAGTACTCGTGATGTTTGGAAATTTGCCAAATTGGACTCGCCCCGGCGGCTCGTCGAATTTTGGCAAAATTTCCAAACATCACTCGTGCTATTAATACCTAATTGTACTCGCCATCGCATGATTACCTATACTAATTCGAGCCAAAGTGTATAATGTTCCTTTTATTATATTTACACCAGCAACGTTCAATCTTACCTGTTTGTTCATCTCTCGAACTCAACGATCTTACAATAGTGGATAAATTACATTTAGATATACATTTAATTTGTCTTAATAGAATGTTTTATTATTTAAACACTGCTGTCTAGTAGGCCTTTTCGACTTCTTGTGGATGTTGCAAGTGGCTGGTTGTTGATTATTTTACGTTTTAATGATTATAGAAACTGGCGGCCATCTTGAAAACCTGCATCTAGTCCATCCCCTTTAGCCACGACCCTGAAATTTAAGGTCTAGACTATAATAAGATATGCTTGTTTACCGTGTATAACATTGTATTGGCATGAATGGTGTTATCGATTATTTTATTTTCTAGGAACTTTGGAAAATTCATCGGCACATAGACGTTCGATCATCAAGCACATGGTTGTTCTGATATTTAAATGCATGATTGTGGGACTAGAACTGGTTATTGGAACCCGCCAAAGGTTGAGTAGACTTTCCCAAGATATCAATGTTTCTACAGAAGGGAAAACATTACATCAAGTAAACTCAAAAAAGACTTTTAATTGATGAAAATTTAACCTGGGATGAGCAAATCTGTAAAATAGTCTAGGACCTGTATATGAGTTTGTATGCATTTCATTTAGGACAGATAATCTCAACTATTTTAGGGCAAGTTGACCATGACGGTCAACATGGTAACCCTGCCCGAACCCCAGTCCGGGACGAAACGCCCGAAACTGACCACACCCAAAAACGACGCTTTCGCCATACTGCTATCTACCAAACCATAAAAGCTTTGGCTATTCTGAGGTGCTTATATGGTTCAGAGATGGTACTTTTGGGGGTGATCATTGGTAAGTGTGAAATGCCTGGCACTAATATTTCACAAGAAAATGACCATGCAATAACCATAGTTAAACGTCAATTTGTGGCTTGCAACTTCAGATAAACAGCAGTGGCCTTACATTACCTTTTTCCCTAAATCTTTTTGATAGAAACATAATTGGTACTTATTTAAATATATTATCACTGGTTTGGTATAAAATAGTTAATATTTTCTGACCGAAATAATTATTTGAAATGTGCCTACCTCCTGCAAATGGACGTATTTGGCCAAGTTCTCCATTTTACTCCGCTGTTTATCGGCGATCTCGTCGACATCCTACAAAAAATGTAAATCATCTCAGACATAATGGTATCAAGAACATTTTAAACAAGTTTCAACCTGGTTTCAAGTAGATCATACCTGTTTAACCATCGACAAGGTAAATCCACAACTTTGTCCAAATTCGGCGCCATTTTGTCATCCCATGTCGGTTGTCAACAATTCAGCCTTGTTACTCTTCCATCCAAGCCATTTCCATTCCACTAATAATAAATTTAACCTTTTATAACGGTAGGAAACTAAAAAATCTAAACAAAATATAAGAAATGCGCCATTTTATCACCCTGTAAAGTGTTGTTTACGAGTCCTTCGAAACATTTCGTACAAATCTCGCGTGGTTTAGCAACAGGGACTTGGCAGGGGGGGTAGAGACTTGAAAAATGAAAGGAAAGCCCACACAGTATCCAACAATCAACATTTAATTTGTATGACTTTTTCATATTAATAAATAATAAATGTATATATCTGTCGCTACAGGAAATAAAACAAACGTTTGTATGATTGTATTTAGCTTTTAGTCTATTTCACGCAGCGTTCTTCTACGTTCGTGAAATAATTCACCCCCTCCTGTCACGTCCCTGTTACTTTGTCACGCGATATTTGTACGGAATGTTTTGACAGACTCGTGACCAAAATTTTACAGGGTGATAAAATGGCGCATTTCTTGTATTTTGTTTAGATTTAATTTCCTACCGTTATAAAGGGTTAAATTTATTATTAGTGGAATGGAAATGGCTTGGATGGAAGAGTAATAAGGCTGAATTGTTGACAACCGACATGGGATGACAAAATGGCGCCGAATTTGGACAAAGTTGTGGATTTACCTTGTCGATGGTTAAACAGGTATGATCTACTTGAAACCAAGTTGAAACTTGTTTAAAATGTTCTTGATACCATTATGTCTGAGATGATTTACATTTTTTGTAGGATGTCGACGAGATCGCCGATAAACAGCGGAGTAAAGTGGAGAACTTGGCCAAATACGTCCATTTGCAGGAGGTAGGCACATTTCAAATTATTATTTCGGTCAGAAAATATTAACTATTTTACACCAAACCAGTGATAATATATTTAAATAAGTACCAATTATGTTTCTATCAAAAAGATTTAGGGAAAAAGGTAATGTAAGGCCACTGCTGTTTATCTGAAGTTGCAAGCCACAAATTGACGTTTAACTATGATTCTTGCATGGTCATTTTCTTGTGAAATATTAGTGCCAGGCATTTCACACTTACCAATGATCACCCCCAAAAGTACCATCTCTGAACCATATAAGCACCTCAGAATAGCCAAAGCTTTTATGGTTTGGTAGATAGCAGTATGGCGAAAGTGTCGTTTTTGGGTGTGGTCAGTTTCGGACGTTTCGTCCCGGTTTGGGGTTCGGGCAGCGTTACTATGTTGACCGTCATGGTCAACTTGCCCTAAAACAGTTGAGATTATCTGTCCTAAATGAAATGCATACAAACACATATACAGGTCCTCGACTATTTCGAGTTAACCATTGGCATTGAGGAACAAGGAATACGGCAATTTTATTATTTTACAGTGTCATGTTTTATACTTAATCATGCTTTAATTGCCGCAAAATATCCTTGACTAATATTCTACTAGCTGGGTTCGGAGATACAGAGTTCCTATAAATTGTTTTTAAAACTTTACATTTTAGTTGTAAGGCTTTGTAAATTGTCGAAAGCATAATCCCAAGCGAAAAAACATCAGAGGCAAAGGACTGACAATGGGTACCAAGAATTAGCTCTGGAGCAAGGTGCCAGTGATTTTTAAAATATTTTTCTTGTTGTTTTTTGTCTAATTTGTACCACTTGGCTTGTGATACCCTTCTGCACTTTCCGAAGTCAATCAAGATGGGATGGATGCATTTATTTCTCTTCGTGATCAAAATGTTATCTGCCTTGATATCGTTGTGCAGAAATGACTTTTTGTGAACGCAAAGAAGTATATCTGCAACCTCATAGAAAATTCTATGCCACTCCACGATGTCAAGCAACATACCTGACTTGGATACTTGCTGCAAGGTGGTAGAGTTTCCATCAATTCCATGAAATTGCATGACCATTAGGAAAGGTTTTACTTCTAAACAGTAGCCAAACAACAATGGTAATCCTAACAAGGAACAAAAACATGTTTAGATTTTTGTCACTTATATAACTTTCCCTTTCTTTATTTTTACAATGAATGGCTTTAGGCATTTACAGTATAATAAAATAATAAAAAATATTGTTTTGCAAATATTTTAAATAAATAAATAAAAAAACATTCAAATTAACATAAAAAGCATAATTTGAATTAACTTTAATGTTTTGCTGGTACCAGTGTCACAGGAATTTTGCCCCTCGGTCTCCCCTAGGAGATTCGCAACCCTCTCATAAAGGGAAGGACATAATCCTAGGGATATCGCTCCAGGGGGCAAATACCCTATTAATTTCGTCCCCCCTTAAAAATTTGCCTCCCCCAAAAAAATTCTTTGAATTTGAATTTTTGATCTAAAAAAAATTGCAAGTTGAAAAGAGCATTGAAAAATATGATTTATTTATTTATCAAGGAGACAAAATTACATTGACATTTTAGGCTTCTTAGCAGCTGGTGGAGTGCACAGTCGGCATAACCACTCCAGACATTTATACTTAGACTAGTGTCATATGCCTCATATTCCACACATCTAAAGTGAAACCATTGCCCACAGAGACGCTATCACACACTTAACCGCCTGTCAATGTCAACAACAAATTTAAGTTAAATTTATCTAATCGAAAAGCCACTATATACAGTTAGTTTCATCCGTGAACAAATACCAGGTTCAGGTTCAGTGGCAAAACACCATTCTCTGAAAAAGGCTAAATCCGCAGAGAAATTGTACGCGTTACATCCTCGAAGCTGAAACTGATTAAGTACGTCTCGACTAAGGAAATCGACGAGGAACTTGATCAGAACTTTGTAAAATCTCGTTAAAGCAGTTGTAGATATGGTTCCAAGAAGAATAGATTTAGTTTAGATTTACATGTATGCATTATCATAGCATGAATATTCTTCTCAGACTTGTTCTGTATCGTATAAAAAAAGCAACGCAATTTTGAGAATGCGGAAATGCTGTCTCATAGAACCTAGAATGATTTAAATGCAACATTTCTGATCAAAATCACATTGGGACTTTCTTCCCCCAGCATCACAGAGGGGAAATAAGATGACGCTGACCGGCTCTTCCTGTTTTTCAAGGTGACTTTTCCAATTTATTTAATTCCGAGTAGAAAATTAGAAATGTCTGGGAAAATTTATGTCTTTAATGTACTTTATAATCTTCGGAATTCTGCAAGATTTCACCCCCATTTCAGGGACTCTAGATTTCAAAATTTTCACGGGGGGGGGGGCATGCCCCCGGACCCCCCCTAGATGGTCTCGCGCCTTCGGCATTCGCTTCGCCCCCTCAAAAATGAAGGTCTGGCTACGCCACTGACCAGGTTGTAACAATAACACTGAAAACGTTAAATGTAACTGTAATTAACAATTTTGAATTTATCATGATTTCAAATGACTATGTAAAGCCATGTAATAATTATCCCATGCAACTGTTAGCAGGGCAAAAGTCCTAAAGGAAAGGTGAAGTTTCTAAAAAGGGATAAATTTCCTAGGAACTTCACCCTCTGGGAGGGCAATATTACTAAGAATATTGCCCCCAGCTGGGAGGAGGCAAAATTCCTGGGACACCGGTTGTATATAGTCCACACTTGTCCATGAAAATGCTCAATTATTGAATTCACTCTCCAAAGGTTGGAGAAGAAATAAGTGGCATGCATATTGTTCTTTGTGTGGTAAAATTAGACCCTACAGTATATGGAAATCTAAATTTAAAATATACTGATCAACACATTATACCATATATTATGTACAGGTATGTCCCTGTACTACCGGTACAACATATGGTTTTGTAGAATATGATATATTGAAGGAAATTACACATGTTTACCTGGATGATCAAATAGATTGATTATACTTGCTTCCCACTGCACACAGTTTCTAGTAACATTTTCTTGGTAGGACTTAACTGCCACCTCCAAGTCCCGGTACAACATTTTTGTACATGTGCCAAAAGTTCCTTTCCCAAGAAAAGCATCAGCAGCAGTGCAATTCAAGCTCTTTAGGTTATTTCTGTTGAGATTCTTCGGTGCTCTAAAAGATTATTTTTATTTTAATAAATTAATAATTCTACTTTGAATTTCAAGTAAGAAACACCAACAACAGTTTTACTTACAATATATATTACAGTATACCATCATATTTTCTCAAGATAGGTTTTTTACTTTAGATTAATAAGGGAGAATTTCAGGAAAATGTTGACAGTTGACTATATTATTGACCAAAGTGGTAAACCCACTGAATATCATTGCAGACAAAGACAACTTATTTTATCCTACAACAAGGACCACATGCTTGCATACTAACAGGTTAACCTTAACAATTTCTACGTCTCATTTGTCAACAGATTAAGCTAGGAAAGACCCCTCAAAAATGTTATATAATTAGTTATTAACCTATTAAAGTACAGTACTGTATATTGCATTCCGCCTAATAGTTAAGAGACATTGGTGCATTTAACAGATCCTAATGAAAATATTATATGCAGTACCAAACAAACATGATCTTTCAGGGGTACTGAAATGAGTGTACAAAATAGATTGCCACAATAAGCCATTAACCCCTACAGTAGTGTACCGGTACACTAGGGCCATAATTGCTGCGGAGCGAGTGAGCCTGAAACGAGCGAGCGTAGCAGCAACATGAGAGACGCACATGTTTAATATCTGTCAGCTCTGATTGCCCTTAAACCCCTGGTCTTTGCTACTTCAATATTGCTTCTTCTCAGTTCCATTCACAGCTCACTAGTGACTAGTTGCTGCGAGTAATCACTGTGCTTGATATGATTAATAAGATTTTAATGCCCGCAGCAATCCCTACAGACCTTGCAGGTACCCTAGTTACTGTATATAACAATTTAGTATGTATAAATACAGCACATGTCAGATCTCTGACATATCCATGACCAGTTTGGCGCATCAAAGTTAAGTAAGTTTACCTGGTTCATGACCCTAAATTTTCCATTCCTGAGTACTGTACACTTTTTTGCTAGACAATTTTACTCCTCATCAAGAGAGTGAAAGACTTGCATGTTGAGGAACAAGAAAAAGTTTAGCCACAAAACTGTAAAAGTCTGTTTTGATGGGAATCAGAATATGACATTGTCGAACTGGACAGGTTGTCAATATTGATGTTGTATTCTACATATAAAGCCACTGTACATGAACATGGGATGGCCAACATTTCTTTATTACAGATATTTATACCGATACAGTACAAGACTTAGATCACTGTAAACTCGTTATACATAAACATATGCAGCTGGTTCAATTAAGGTTGTCTCATTACAAACTTAGCTGTACAATCCAAATGCAACTTCATATTTTGAGGGGCTGTTTATATGGTCTCCGGTACCAGAGACACCCTCGACAAATCCTTGGCAGAGGCAAAGTAAAATTCATATTGTAGCGACTGCCCTGGGGGTAGCAACACTATGTTTACGAAAGAGATAACCCTAGGGGGTGAGACCAGCGTTGCCAAGTCCGGGATTTTATCCCAAGATCTCGGGATTTTTTGAAGCAGTTGGGATTGTTTTTTTATTTTTATTTCAAAAAGACGATCTCGGGATTTTATTTTATTTTTGAGAAAGAGAAGTTCTAAATTTAGAAATTGATTTTTTGGTAAAATTGACTAATTTTGCAATTTTGCTAAAAATACAGGGTTCGTCCGCTGTATTTAAAACCCAATTGAGCTGCATATCTGATGAAAAATTTTGTTTTACAGCATGACGTACAGGGCTATCCTACCCGATATTGGCACGAAAACCAGCTAAATTATAATGACCTGATAATGACGTAAAAAAGGCAGTTCACTGAAAAAAGTGCGAATTTTTTAGGGAATCTCGGGATATTTTGGGAGCTTACTTGGTATATTTACAAAATTACAGTTGGTAACGCTGGGCGAGACAACATTAACTTTTCTACATGTAAATTAAAGTTTGCCTCAGCAGTTCAGCCTCTAGTCTAGGGACAACTTTTCCACCCGACACTGCAGCAAAGTTGTCTCGAAGATACCCCTGGTACCAGATACGGAAGATGTCCCTGGTACCAGATACGGTAAACCTCCAACTATATAAGCCCCCTTCCGAATATAAGCCCATCACATACACTAACGCTCACCTCATTCCAAATATAAGCCCCCCCCCCCAAATATAAGCCCCTCCAAATATAAGTCCCCTGAATATAAGCCCAGTACCCACTATGTTATTCAACATTGACATTATCTTTTAATACAGCAGAGAATGATATTTAAAAACATTAATATAATATATTGACATTGTCTTTACAGTCGACTATGTGAATCAAAGCGTGTTATTAATACATGTTTATTTTCCTGTTTATGACTGACTTGTTTATGTCTGACTTGTTTATTACTAATACAAAAGATCGTCCATGTATTAGCCCCCCCCCCAAATATAAGCCCCCCACCCCTTGTATAAGCCCATCAAAAATCACTTACAAAAGTATATACTGTAAGCCCAGCTGTATTGTCGGAGGTTTACAGTAAACAACCACTGAATTGCCTACATACTGTAGAGTATTATTAAAGTTGTTTCTGTTACATATTTGTTTTGTTATTCTGACGTATGTTATTTAAGTCTTGTAATTACGTCATACAATGCGTTCGCGCCAAATATATGTTTTTAGATTCTCTGTCTTAAAACGTGTGTATTCAAACAGAACAGTTTCTGTTGTACCTGTACTGTTGTGGTCGTCATGCATTGTAATATTTAATGATGCAATCTTTTTGCATACTACATTAATTTTTTTCTGTGTTGATGTCGGGTACTCAACTAGTGAATATGTTTGTGATGTTACTCTGAGTGTACAGTATATCCGGGCGAGCTTGAAAAATATGCCCGGTCACGGTGGGAATCAAACCTACGAACTTTGGAATACTAGCTGTCTAGCCCAATGCTCTGCCAACCGAGCTACACGGTCAGGTTGGTTTGAGTAAGTGATATTTTGGAACAGAATCTAGTTCCTGCGATACCAGATGTAATCTAGTAATATGTTTTTGTCTGTGTTCGGTTACCCAAACCGGCCGTGATTGCGTAGCTCAGTTGGCAGACCATTGGGCTAGACGGCTAGTATTCCAAAGGTCGTAGGTTCGATTCCCACCGTAACCAGACATATTTTTCAAGCCTGCCCGGTGTGGATATACAGTACACTCAGAGTAACATCACAAACATACTACATTAATGTTTTGAGAAAACTTCTAAAAAGCCTAAAGCACAATCAGTGACTTAATTACAAATAATTCTGTTCGAACTTTGTAGTCAAACGTTGTACGTTTGATTAATTATTGGCTGGTTTTTTTTGACAAATTTAATGAGCTGCATTCGAACATCGATGCATAACTTGGAACTATTGTATATAGCGATTTATATTAAAGCGGTATTTTCAATTTTCTCAACAATTAAAACGTTATATAAGAACAAGATTTCTCATATTAATTACCTGTATATGGTTGACTTTTTCGCCTTTTCTTGGTCGTATAACTTATTACGCCAGTGGTCGGGTTGTTCATGGCTGACTTGGCCCTGGATTCTCTCATCAGTCAGCCTCTGCAGTTTAATTTGGAGCTCTTCAATTGTCTGGTTAACTCGAGACCGCTTTTCCTTTCTTGCTTGTTTAGTAAACTTTAGAGATTCCTTTTTTTTCTTGTTCCTCCTTAACCTTTTCCTTCGTATAGCTTTGATACTTTGCTTGTGTTTACCATACATCTCATTATTACGAATATGTTCGTCAACTACACGCATGGATTCTTGCTTTTGTATGAGCCGAACGTCAGCAAGCGGTAAACCGCTCGCACGATCTGCTAATGAGCACTCCGCTTGAAATGCATTAGCTTGACTCAAACTACTTACAAAAATGCCAGGAGTATTAGCCTTCGAACAGCGCTCTCCTACAGACTTTCCCTCCATTTTGTCACAACGTTATGCTGTTTTGCGCCTTTTGGCGCCTTGGCGGGAATTTTAAATGTTGTCCTGGGGAAGAGGGTCAAGTGTTGGAAAGCATGTATTGTTCATGCGTTCCCCACGTGAAGCCTTAATTACTTTACAATGTGCGCAAATAATATTTACTTTCTGTGCATTTGTACTATGACCTCTCCCGCAGGGAACAAGCTCAATTTACATTATAAGCCAATAAACGAATTGCGCGCAAATTTTCAAACCAAGGTGCAGACGTACACAGAGCATTAGAGCAAGTCTGTGTAGCTTAGAGTCCTTAGAGAAAAAGCATTTTAATTTAACGACGATAAAGTTCCCGCGATGCCAACTCAAGATGAAATCCTTGTCCTTCTTGAAGAGGTTGCAAGAACGAATAGGACTTTGAATAACGAAAACCGTTTGTTGCGAGAGGAGCTAACTAGGCGCGATGTCGAGAACAAGGCTGTCTTAAAGAAACTCGAAGAAAAGATTGATTCAGTCACGTCTTCGAGTGAAAATGGCTCACCGCCTGCAAGAAAAAGTGTAAGACGCCGAAGAACGAAGACAGTACGTGTTCCAGCTCAATGTCGGGTAGGTACCTGGTCTAACTAGTCTGTATTACGGTTTGACTACTTAAGTTGTTATAACGGAAATTTATATTCTGTTGCTTAAAGTAAAGAATGTATAAAACCAGCTCGGCAAGTATTCGCTAAAAGTCATATATGATATATTCCTTTCTATTACAGTATCTGTTATTGAAATGAATGTTGTGAAAGCGCGCGCATTTTTATCATTTGCAAATTGCCTCAAAATATTTTCAGTGCAACTAGTGCCCAGTGTTCAACCGCGCCCTGGTAATTATAATCTCTGCATTATGTCTGACAAAGAATTGACAATTTTATACAGAGTATTTTCAATTGATAATATTTTGCAGAGAACAACTAAGAAGGTATATCAGGCGCTGGGCCAAAACGAAGAGTTTGGAGGTTTTGACATGGGCGAAAGGTAAAAGAGTGTTTTTGTAATTGTAACTAGGAAATAATAAACATCTCGAGCAAAGTGCAACAAACGTGTTTACATTTTGCCAACTATTTATATAAAAACCTCTGTGGTCTGAGCTAGCCCTCTCGTGAGTTCTTCCAAAAGTGGTTCTATTTAATAGCAGTAGTAGAAAATAGTTTGTGCTATAAAGTAGCATGTTTATACAGTGACTACACTCTACTGTGTTACAGTGACTATAGTTAAAGTGGAAGTCAAGTCTGTATGTAAACAAACGGTTTGTTTACATTTTGAACTGCTGTATTTTTAAAAAATGATGTACTGTCTGCAGGGACGCCGGAACTGGGGGGCAGGAGGGGCAGCTGCCCCTCTTGCCTTTTGCTAGGAGGGGCAAGGGGGGGGGGCAGAAGTGCCCTTTGAGTTGTAAAATACTACCTAATAAATCACATTTCCAGTGATGCTTTTTGGGCAAAATCATGAGGTGTGATTTGAATGTGACCTGATTAAGTGTGTTTGCTTTCATTGGCAAGTCAACACACAATTGTAGGTTTATATCTTCACCGGTGTCTATAGATCGAAGTGCCCTTTGGTGTGCGTTTGCCCCCCTTTGTCTTTTTATCGTTCTGCCGTCCCTGACTGTCTGAATATCTAACACCATTATGGTTCGCTATGCTTCTAAATGAATATGAAATAGAGTTTAATATGTTCAGAAAAATTCGAAACATTCGAAATTTGGGCAATGTTCACATTGGAGGTCCTCGCATTGTTATGAGCAGAACTGATGCGCAGAACGGACTTGACTTCCACTTTAAGTATGTATATACAGTGACTATACTCTACTGTATTATAGTGACTATAGTTAAGTATGTATATACAGTGACTATAAACCCCCCACCATCCAACCCCGGGGCTATGCAGGCATTAGCAGTTTATTAATTAATGCCCCTACTGTATGAGTGGTGCACTTATCTGTAGCATATTGCATTTGCATTATATTATTTAGAAAGGGCTTAAGGTGCTATATATATATATATATTGGAAAATTTACATATTATACCATACTTCATAGTGGTATTGCCCCTGGTATACTATGGAGATGACATACTGCGTATACACTTGGAACTTTCATTGCGGTTGCTGTGTAGTTGCTAACTTATTAGCCATGAATGTCATGTACAGTATAGGCACAGATTACATACAATGTATGCTGATAAAGAGCATGCTGATCCATGTTAATTTATGTTTCATCTGTGTCCAAAATTTAAATGTATGAATTACATTACAATCAGCCAAAAAACATCACTACAGGAGGCCTGCAAGCCTTTCTCACTATGTATCATGGAATTATAAGTTATAGTTTTAATATTAACCCATTGAGCCGCAATGCATCCCAGTATACCCTACTTTTTTTTACTTGTCTAATGCCAGACGATTTTACTTGTCAATGGGGAAGCTCTGCAGCTTGATTGGTTAACCAAAAAATTTGACAATGTCTCTAGTTAACCCATTGAACTACAATGTGCCCCAGTGCACCCTAGTTACTTTTTACTTGTCTAATGCTAGATGATTTTACTCATCAATGAGAAGCTCTGTGCAGCTTAATGGGTCAAATTAACTGGTTAATTCTCAGGTGTTGCCCACTGATTTATAATAGTTTACCTGGACTCAGTGCTCAAGGGTTAGAAATGGCCACATGCAGATTTTGCTTGTGTCATATAGGTCCTCGTTCAAAGAAATCCCCATGGACAGTTTGTTTTTGAGTCGATGGCAAAAGTTGCTTGCATCAATTTGCAACATATAGGTCCTTTTTCATGCCATAGTTTTGCTGACATCAAGCTTTAATGAAAGTAGATTGAGCATGCTGTTCAAGTAAATTATATAGCTCAGTGGCATAGCTCCTTGATGAGTAAAGTCATGCATCGATCCAGTATTAGGCCATTAGCCAAGGTAGAAATATAAAGTACTGGTAGGGCACATGACTTGCATTGTGGCATAATGGATATAGTATTATATACTAAGATGGAATGTACATCATTCTGAATTTGTCATGTGTGATTTCCATCCAAAATTTTTGTTCAGATATACTGTACACATGTTGTTGGTACACGTCAGTAGGTCATTACAAAATTTCAAGTTGATTTAATGTACATGCATGAACACCGGGTTCTACAGTACAGTATGTAAAAATATGTGCTATTAAATAGAGAATAATACAT